TCTATAGCACTTTACAGCCTTTACTGTGGATAATTCATTAGGGGGCGTTTGGACACACAATTCAAGCTACAAATGTCTAATCTGATTAAGTAAAAGCAGACTATCCCCTCTCCCTCAGAGTAGGATGTAACCCAAGTGTCTTTGTTCCATGTTCTGGTATCCAGGATACTGATTAGTTCTTGCTTTCTGAAAATGTTCATTTTCAGGAACAAAAAAATATGCTTTTTAATAACAGCAGAGACAACTTCAAAGTCCACACTACCCAGAAATTTTTGAAAAATAGACTTCTACTAGGTCTGGACAATAAATCAATAATATATATATTGTGATAGACATGTCCTCAATATCAATACATAATACGTGTTATAGAATATCCAATGATTTTACTGAACTCTGATCCAGAACCGCACAGCATTCTGGGGGATGTAGGCAGAATAAAGGCTTTAGCTGCTCAACCTCTCACTCCTAGCTGAAAAGTTGGTGAAATCAACTAACTCACTCACTCTTTGGTTACCTAGCAACTCACTCACTCTTTGGTTGCCTAGCAACTCACTCACTCTTTGGTTACCTAGCAACAACCTGCTGAGTAACTGGCACAGCAACTGGTTAACCTGAAGAAGTTGCGACTTTTTCGATGAGAATGAAAAGTCAGAGGAAGATGTTTAACCTACAGATTATTGGGTTCACAGAACAATTTGCAAAAGTTGCTGCTTATCAAATGAAGAACTACTTTAGCCTTTGTGTGAAAGTGGAAGAACTGGATTTTGTATCTGATTTCTTCCCACTGCACTTGCAGGAGTTCATATGGAAAACACTGCGGCAAATTAGATGTTGTGCAGAGCATGTTGTTCGGAACAACATGCTCTGCACAGAAAACACATTCAGATGTTTAAAGCATTTTGTTTTCTTTAAACTCGAAAACAAACTTTTCCTGAGTCATAAGATGTTTGTGGGCTGCGAACAATGGCTGTAAAATCTGCTTAATAAGGTCAAGGATTCTTCAGTTCTTTGCCCTTCGACTGTGTTTGTGTATCAACAAAATCAATCAAATTCATGTAATTTTAATGTTTGCTTGTCATCTGGAACTGCTTTCAAAGAAAAAATGCATCTAGTTTCTTTTTGATTAAATCACTGATAGATTTTGACCAGATTGACACAACATTGACGAAAGATAAATCAAGACGAAGGAAGAAAAAAAAAGCATCTTGGCTGCTGAGAATGTTAAATCCCAAGGAAACTTAAACAAGGAGAGAGAAATGTGTTCAGCTGATGCAACCCAGGTGCTGATATGCATGGAGAGAGCTTTGCAACAGATTTTATTTCACAGTTGCAAAACAGCTTATGCATTTCTCTGCTTATTCTCTGGACAGAACCAGGAATGTTGGAGGTTTTTCTCCGGTCCAAGTTCACTAAACCTTGTTGCTCCTCTGGACAGTTGGGATTTGGATCACGCTGAATAATGGGGATTTCTTCCTGCTCTTCTTCTAACTCTCCGCTCTCAGACATGAAAGGAGAGAGGGACTGTTATTTGCATTTTTACGCCTTGGTATATTTTTCATGTGGGAATAGAAATTCGATGAGCAGAGTCAAGTCCCAGTGCTGCTGTGTCCTGAAGTGCATCAGGCTGCCTTTTCATCTTCACCTCTGCCTAACCGCTCCCTGCTTCCCCGAAACCAGACCTTTAGCTTACTTCTCTGACGAACTTCTAAAATGTGCATTTTGCTCTCTGTTTTATGTTTTTCCTTTTTGCATTTTCATAATTTTTTCAAAAGTATAATTTCCATCTCTTTTCTTTGACTCAACAGCTACATTTTTAATCACTCAATGTACTGCAAAAACAAAATCTTACCAAGTAATTTTGGTCTAGTTTCTAGTGCAACTATCTTAGTTGATTTGAAATAAGACAAAACTAACTGACAAGTTACCTTTAAGCAAAATATAGGAGCTTGTTTTAAGGCAATAATCCTTTATAGTGATGAAATGGTACTTGTTCCACTGACATATTATTTTAGTTATAAGATTTTTCTCATGCTAAAGGTACTAGGTAGCAGTACTTTTTCAGCAATATTAAGGAATTAATGACTAAGCTGTTGTGTAAAAATGTCAAAGTTTACCTTGAAATAAGAAAACTAAGACATTTGCACAAAAATATTTAGTAAACTTTTATGTTTTTGCAGTGTATTTACATTTTCTGATCTGTATTGCAACAGTTGGCCATTTGAAAATGACAAATCATCAGCTGTGTTTCCATTACAAATGTGTGCAAAACTCTGTTGATAAGCCATTAATGTAAAACAAAACAAGACAAAAAAAAACCACAATCAAATGCGAATAAGTTTGTTCCTGTGATACGTCATTAAAAATCATGCCGTGCCATAATTCTCTTCCACTTCCTGTTGTTTGCTTTTCCAGCAGTCGTAATATCCGGTTGTTGATCACGTGACTCGTGTTGTCCAAAATAATTGTTTCCATTGCAATTTTGTGAAATACACCAATCTTGATTAAACTAAAAAAAACTTTTAGCAAAATCATGTAATAAAAAACGTGATTTTTAGAGAAACTGGCATGTTTCTGGCAAGGAAATTTATTTGTCCAATTCCAATTTGTGCAGTCATATGGTCAATGAAAATGCAGCTATTCCTGAAATATTACATGCAAGTCAGTTTTATTTCAATTGTACCGAGACATAAGCAGTAGAAACTAGCCAAAAATACCTGCTAAGATTTGGTGTTTTTGCAATTCAGTACATTCCAATGTTGTAAGACACCTTAAATTTAAAACTTCTCTTTTCGGGATGTTTCAGTCAGATAATGCAACTTCCTCACATAGGTCACATGGCAGGTTTTGACTTGCATTTCCTTATAATTCATTGATTAAGTCTTGGATTGTCTGTGTGGCATATGTGGAAAATCCAGCTTCCAAGGCTGACTTCACTCTAATATAAAGTTCCTTTAACCCTTGTTTGAATGTTTATGTGTTGGGTTATGCCTACGATAAATTGCAACCATTAAGCCGAGAGGTTGAAGGCAAGGTGAATGGAGAACAGCCGCACTATTACTGGGTGATTACATCTCATTCTGTCATTACACTCCAGCACCTCGTTAGCATGGTTAAGGGCAGCTTTTGCTCTCTGCCTCATAAATCTGACACATTAGGACCACACACTGCATGTACACATGTCCTGTGAAAAGGTTGTAAATGTTATTGCGTCAGTGTATTTGTCATCTTGACTTGCAGTTGAAAATTAATTCCTTTTTCTTTTTCATGTTATAAAAAAACCCCCAAAACATAAAAACTCAATAGAAATCCTAATTAATAAATGGTGCGCGATGTACAAACATGTTTGTTTCGCCAACAGCAATGATAACGAGGTCTGTTTGTGTCAGGCACACAAACACAAGAGCAGAAATTTAAAGCAATGAAATTACCAAGCACATTCACACACTAACACACTGCTAACATTAGGAGTGTGTTTATAAATGCTCAACCGTGAGGTCAGTCTTATTCCTGCCAAAAGTGGGTGTAAATATTTCTGTTTCGGAAAATTAGTTTTCAGACACACACTCACACCCTCAGTGCATATTGATCTGCACATTGATTCTAAGGATATTAAAACTCAGTGTTATTAATCACAGCTGATTACATTTTCAGTGAAGTGAGATTTTATTAAGACGACGAAAAGGTTCTGCAGCTTTCAGCGTACAAGAGCCTTGCAAAATTATTGACACCCTTTGCACTTGTTATCATGTTAAACCCGTTAAATTTGATTTGGTCTTACAGGGTTTTATGAGAACAAAGCAAAGTAGTAAATAATTGTGCTACACTACAGAGTAACATCTTTAGCTGCACACAGCAAAAACACAAAATCTTACCAAGAGCTTTGTTTAGTTTCTAGTGGAAATATCTTGGTACACGTGAAATAAGAAAAAACTAAAAACTGTTCAGCACAATATAGGAGCTTGTTTTAAGTCAATAATTCCTTAATATTGATGAAGAAGTACAAGTCTTGTCTTGTTATAAGATAATATCACAAATCAAATGTCTTGTTCCAACCTGACTGAACTTGAACTTTGCTGCAAAAAAGAGCAATTTAAAATCTCCAGATGTGCAAAGCTGTTAACATTCACAATAAGACGTGCGGCTATAATTTCAATGATATCCTGCAGAGCAGCATTGCTTCACAGCAACATGTCACATTTTTCAGGATTTTATTTAAAGAAATGTTTTTTAGAAATGTGTTTTTCTGTATACTTGGCTCTGCTTTGTTTGTGTATCACATGAGATCCTAATAACCTGGACTGATGTTTGTAGTTGTAGTATGATGAAAAGTTTCAAGACTTATGGATGTTTTTTCAAAGTACTGTTTCTTCCTGCATCAGAAACCCTGAACTGGATAAACTTATTCTGTTTGCACAGGACCGAAGTTCACCGACTATTTGAATAAAAAAAAAGCTTTTCAGTTTGAGAAATGGTTGTTTTTGCTGCTGCACAGCTTAGGTGTCTCGTTTAGGGACAGTAAATTATTCAGCCGTTCAGGATGTCTGAAGATTGATTGACGCGTTTGGTGGTGTCCTGGTCTTGCCGTTTGCCATATACAGGAAAGATTGTGTGACATGATGTCTTTCCAGCTATGCAATAATAGCCAAACCAGGACGCACATTAATAAGAGCGGTGTTACAGAGCAAAGTGTAAAGACGCATTTTGAGGAAAAAAAGAGGGGAGAGATGGAGCAAAAAGAAGACGGTGAATGTAAAAAAATAAAGATGAAAAAACAAACTTGAGGTAAAAAAAAATAACTGAATATCATCACTGATGGGTGGAAGAGCAAAATAAATACAAAGAAACTGGGTTTATTGGGTATTTAAAACTAACCAAATATTATCGAAGCGTTTAAATTTCATACATGGGGTTTGTTTAGTCGGTTAACTTCGTCTCCTATGAATCTTCTTGTTGCTCTTTCCGTTAATCTTTTCTTCTTCTTCTTCTCTGTTGTGTTCCAGGTGTGATACCAGATCGCCAGTTTGCTGGAACCCAGTTCGTCTGCAGTGTTGTGGCCTCTCATGTCAGCCATCAGCCCTCCACCAGCTTCAGTTTCGTCTGGATCGCCCCGCCGCCAGGCACCGGCTGCGTCAATTTCCTGTAAGTTTGCTGTCAGGTTCACACAAAGAAAAGAATAAAACCGAGAGAAAGCGGTGCAGATGGGTGGATTTGCTGGCACCTTTACAGCTGCTGCTCCAGACATGGACGTTATAAACTTATTTGTTAATGACTTTAAGCTCCATGCTAAACCAGAAAAGCTGAGAGCGGCTTAAATTGTGCTTTTCCTCCTGAGGTCCCCCTGCATCTTAGTGTTTACATCCGGAAATTTTGTGCAAGCCCACGATGCTGGGGGGAAAATAATGTAGAAAAACCCTTAAAGAACAACTCAAAACCACTTTTTTCTCGTTCTCTGCGTCGGCTGAGCTATGTGAACGCAATCCTTGTCACAGGTTCACGACAGGATTTAGATGTTGGTCAGGCTTAATGTGCTTTGATCCAAATATTTCTGTTAATTTTGAATCTATGTGCAGCTTTAGTGTCAACCTTCAACCAAGTCTCAACACTGTAAAACATATGAGCCACATTTAGTTGTGTCTGTCTTTTACTCTTTAAGTCAAATAAATTTATCCAGTTTCAGTTTGTGGAAGATAAACTTACAGCAGTAAGTTGTGTTAACTTTTTATTAATTTAGTCAAACCTCCAAGAGTTGAATAAACTGAGTTTTTAGGTTTGCACTTAAAAAACTGAAAGAAGAGAAAGACAGGAGCGGAAACTATTTCCCAGAATGCTTAGCGGCATGTTTCTGTCTCCTGAGGTGGAAGTGCGTTACGTTGATCTGACTCTGGTGTTTTATTAAGGCAAATGTTCATTTTAATGCAATTCTCAGTCAGCAAAGCTTGAGGATAATGTCCTGATCACACTAAATGTTTCTGAGCTGAATTTATTGGGATGTTTAATAAAATTCATCATCATATCAGAAATTTTGTTCCTGCAGTTTGAAACAAGAATTTAAATTAATCTAAAGTAAAATCAGTATTTATTTTAACTTGATATTGTGAGTAAATAATAGAGAAATGTGGCTCTTTAACCAGATGAAGGTAGATTTTTTTTTCTTGCATATTGTAAAATAATTACTTGGTTTAAGTTGCAGCATTAAGTTAAAACTCACAATTCAAGATTAAAGAAGTTAAAAAACAAAGTTTAGACAACTTGTCTCTTGTTGTTAAATCAACTTCATGAACTTTAATTTCAGTTTAAACCAAAACAATTTTATTGTTGCCTTAAATTGCATTTTCAAGGCAGCAGGTGGACTTTCTAAGTTAAACCACCTGTAAATGTTTTACAGTGTACTTTTATTGTGTCGAAACTAGCACTTATTCAATTCTGTAATTTTCCCTTAAGTTACAGAATTGTGGAGTGCAAAACTAACCATGTATTCAGAGGAATGTTCATCTTTATACGACACGTTTGGGTTAAGCGTCCGGGCTCTGACCTCATTACTCTGTGGCTCAACATGTCATGGATTGATGAGAACTGCCACCCAACTTGAAAGTCTTTCTCTCTTTTTTTTTTTTTTTGGACCCGTTACTGAACTCTCTTTACAACACTCAAAAACTGCTTGGCTAAATTCCTGGAATGTTTCAGCTAATTTTCAGACTGAGAATTTTATAGAGCGACTGACGGAGAACAATTCAACACGACAGCTCTGCTAAATTAAAGCTGCCAGTTAGACGATATCCACCATAATAAATGGATTTACTGGCTTTTTCCAGCTGCCAACTCACTTTTACTGTCAAGCTTGTGTGTTGGCTTGCGCGGGTTTGTTTTTGTCTGAGGACTTGTGTGTGCATGCATGTGAAACTGCAGAGCTGCTGATGACAGCTGGACAACTGTATGGCAATCGGAGTCCCTGCAGTTGACCTTATCAAAGTCAGTCCTTTGCACTCCATCTGACTGGAAACGCTTCTCAAAAATACATGCAGACATGATTACTGGACTCTGTTGTCTTCATCTTGCTTTCCAGAGTGACTCTCTTGTGTCTCATGGGAGGAATTCATCATACATGTGGGTATTTAACCAAAACGTGGGCCACGTTTGGTGCTGCAGAAAATATTCCAAGACTGAGCCGTCAGTAGCTGTGTTTCCATTGACTGTGAAATTGTGCAAATTGTAATTACGAAAATGGAAACATTGCAATTCCGGAAAAACTAAAAAATTTTCAATAAAAGATTTTTGTGCTAGTGGTTTTTCAGCCATATAGAAATTGGTTTATTTTGCAAAACTGCAATGGAAACACTTTTTCCGCATCAGACAAGTCATGAGATCAGCAACTGGATGTTAATACTGGCGGAAAAGACAAAGAAGACGACAGGAAGTGGTAGGAGGATGACGGCGCAGCATGTTTTTTAAATGACATATGTGAACAGACCGATTCACATTTGATTTTAATTGTGTTTCTTAATATTAGTTGAATATCGACAAAGTTTTGCGCACATCTGTAATGGAAACACAGTTCTCTCTACTCTGGTGAGAGAACTGTTTCTCTGTCAGTCATATGCCTGGTTTCCATTCAATTGCAACACAAGTTTTGAGTGAATTTTAAGAAATGTCCCAAAAAAGAAAATGCAAATTAGTCCTGTTGCCATTAGGTGTGGGAATTTTATTGTATTGTTTATCATTTATGGTGAAAAATGTCTTATCATGATAAGAATTTTGATTTATTGTTTATTTTACATTGGCTGTTATACTCTTAACTGCACAGACTGAACAAATTAAAGTTGAATTTGTTAAGTTTGTGAAGCTATTGGTGTATTTAAGTGAGCGCTACTGGTGCAGAGTTATCAAATAGATTTGTAATTCAGTACATTTATGTTTGTGTTTTGAAAAATAACATGCATTTTAAGTCAATTTGGATCAGTATCAGCCGTTGCTAAACCTCAAATATCTGCACCGGTATCAAAAGTGAAAAAAGTGGATCGGTGCATCAGAACTTATTCAGCAATTGTATTTCAATTTCCTCTTTCAGAAAATCCAAGCGAATGTAACAAACTTTTTTTAGGACGTTTTTTTTTCAGATTTTGCCATTTCCATCAACCTTCTTTAATGCGATTCTTCAAAATGCACAGTTGAAAACACGGTTATAGATAGTTTGTGCACGACATCTGATTTGGTAAAAGTGTTTGCAAAATCTCATTTCACTTCCCTGCACATAATACTAAAAAAGTAATAAGTTTCATCATGCCTTGATTGATACAAAGAGTATTTTCTGCAAGCTGAGCCAAGAAGTGTTTAAATTGAAGATCCAGACATGCTCTGTCCTTCAGAAGGCTGGAACGGGTCCACCTCTGCATTAATATGGGCCCTGTGAGCAGTTTTATGGCCGATATTGTGGGATTGTCCCTGGTAACATATCACTTGCAGCTGAGTGATAGAGTGCAGTGATGTGGGCATCCAAAAGAATTAATTTTCTGGATGGCTGTAAATTGCCACCAAAAGAGAAGGCAAGGCCTTGGAGAACAGATGAGAAGAAGAAGAAGAGACGGAGGAAGGTGGAGAGCACACATTCATCCAAAAGTTATTGCTCTACGGAAACCTCACTGAAACAATGTTGGACTCTTTCTGGAAAGTGTTTTGTTTTACACTACTGTCACAGCTGAGGCAGACACTGAAACGAGCCAAAGCATGTTTCTGCAAACAATTTCTGTGGCAGGCATGGGATGTCGAATATCAGCTCTGTACTCACCGTCATTGAATGTGTATGTGGTGGCAGAATACCTTAAGTCAAAGGTTTTTTAATCTCGTCACCAGACTTGAGGTATTATGTCTGAAATTCTGGATGGGAAAGGAAAAACTGTTAACCTGGAAGTTGGTTGTATCTGGTGGTGGGGAAGGCTGATGGACAGTGGCTATTTTTTCCAAATGAATGCTGCATTTTTGGAGTAAACGTGAAGCATTTGTAACCAACACTCTTTAAAGTAAACTTTACCTGGTAATTTGTACTGCTTGAATAACCTAACTTTGTGGATTTTGATAAAAATGGCTGCCATTTTTCTTACACGGAGTTGCAGATCTGAATCTATTATGCAAAACTCATATTTAGCTCATTTTTGTACTTCCATTTAGGTTTCTACTGCTTCTAAAAACAACCTAAGCACTTAAAAACCCACCCAGCTGGTTCTTACCAATAAGTTTATGTTTTTTGGTGTCTGGAAAAGGTTTAACAAACCATCCAAATGTAATGTCATAAATCAGCAGACACTGCGCTGTTAGCAACCCCAGGGAAGCCTAGTTCCGTTACCTAGCAACCCCAGTGCAGCCTAGTTCAGTTACCTAGCAACCTAAGCTGAGTTCCAGCACGTTTGGTTAGCTGGTTTTAAAGCTGTATGAGCTGTTTAATGTATTCTTGTTGGTTGTAAGGCTATATAATTGCACATCTGTTTGCAGCCGTTTTCACATGTGAGTGTAAACATTGAGTTTGGGGGCGTGGCCAACTTTAGCTTATTTGGATTTAAAGGGACAAGAAGCCCTAAAATAACAATCATTCTGAAAGGAAAAGGCAGAAATAACAATCTGATAATGATTTTGTGCAGTAAATGTAATGAACAAGTCTTTTATAGCCCATACATCCATTCTAACGTGTTAAAAAAAAACATGATAGGTCACCTTTAACCAAAAAAGGCTTACTGAAATTGATGTTTTAACGAGTTTGTCAATTAATTTGCATAATAAAGTTCGCAAATGTTCTGTGAATCCACTAGATTGACTAGATCTGACAAAATATCAGACATCTTTCTGTTTGTCAGGTTCACAGTACTGGCATGAGACCTGACCTATCTTTCCCAGAGCTCCTAATTTACCCAGTTATTAGTCTGCTCCATTGATTTGTTTGTATTCAAGTCAATCAGTTGACTCTGTTTTATCATAAAGCCACTACTTAATGACCTTTCATCCTTATTAAAGGTCCTCAAAGGCCTCTGGCCGCAGGGTGCATGAAGGTTTACTGGAAATGTTAAGCCAGGAAAGAAATAATTGGCTGAAGATAAGAAAATATTTGTCATGGATACAGACCATTGAGGAATAAATGTGGAAGATAAAGCAAA